TTTGTTATAAACACTAATTAATGAAGGACATTTATGAATATCTCTAATATCAAACGCTATCCATATCAAAAATATCCTGGAGAGATTTCTGGAATAAATTCAGGAGATATTTGAAGCACGGTCTACAAGATATCAGATTCTCCTTTTTTTTTACAGTAGGAAAGAGATGATAATTCGTTTGGTGTCCGGTTTATGTGGTTTCCTTGTCTAGAGAGTGAGAGGGAGAGAAGTGCGTGGCCTTAGTTTAGGGAGGAACCAGTTAAGGTGTACTACTACGTATGTGCAAATTACTCGGTCCCATTTGATTAAATATAAGAACCAATTGTGTACAGCACATGTCAAAAAAAAAAAATTGTGCACAGCAGATCGGCTGTTTGGTCCACTGCTTTTACCTTCTGTATGTATGGAGGGTCCGGACTGGAGTGCTTATTTTGTTTGCGAGCCAATCAATGGTGGGCGTATGTCACCTAGGGTCGCACGACGACGTTCCTGATCAACTGACTAATCCGTTATTATATTTCTGTAGCATTTTGCTTCTTTTAAGGGCAAAGTCTGCGTGCTAGTCCGAGATGCCAAATCGCCGATGAAGTCTAGCACCACCTTCGCAGTAGAGATCCAGCAAGATGCCGTGGACGCCGCCGACAAGCCGGATGGCGGCGTGCCCCGGCCGTCTCGGGTCCGCCATCTCGCTCTTCTCACCGCCACCTTCTGCGCACTGGTCTTCTACGCGCACTACGGCGTACCAGGCAGCATGGCGTCCGCCCTGTTTAAGCCACCCGTCACCGTTTCATCCCTTCCCTCGCTAGCCAGCATCACCATCGACCAAAACTCCAGACGGGCGGAGCAGCCGGTGATGCTGAGTGAGGGACATGCACCGCTCACTCCTCAGGCGACAGTGCTCCAGGCCACTCGGAGCACGGCGGTGCCGGCGCCGACGCGGACGCCGTCCGACCATTGCGATGGGCGGTACATCTACATGTACGACATGCCGCCGCGCTTCAACGTCGACCTCCTCCGAGACTGCGGCAAGGGCAGGCTCCACCCGTGGTTGGACATGTGCCCGTACGTGGCCAACGACGGCATGGGCCAGCCGCTGGCGGACGACGGGGGCGTCTTCCCCGGCCGTGGCTGCTACTCCACCGACCAGTTCATGCTCGACCTCATCTTCCACGCGCGGATGAAGCGCTACGAGTGCCTGACCAAGGATCCCTCCCTCGCCGCCGCCGTCTTCGTCCCCTTCTACGCCGGCCTCGAATCCGGGAGGTACCTCTATAATTACAGCATCTCGACGCGAGACGCGCTCCAGCTCGACGCCATCGACTGGCTGGTGCGTCGCCCCGAGTGGCGGGCCATGGGGGGCCGTGACCACTTCTTGGTGGCTGGCCGGACCACGTGGGACTTCCGGCGGGAGGCCGACGTCGACGAGCTGTGGGGCACCAAGCTGCTCACGTACCCGGCCGTCGAGAACATGACGGCCTTCGTCCTGGAGACATCCCCGTTGACTCGGAGCAACTTCGCGGTACCCTACCCGACGTACTTCCATCCTGAGGCCGCCGCCGATGTGCTCGCCTGGCAAGAGAGACTTCGGAAGGTGAGGCGGAGGTGGCTCTTCTCCTTCGCCGGCGCCCCACGCCCCGGCAGCAAGAAAACCGTCCGCGCGCAGATCATCAGGCAGTGCCGCGCGTCCAGCCTGTGCAACCTCTTCCACTGCGGCGGCGTCATCGGCGGCGGTGCGGCCGACTGCAACTCGCCAGCAGGCGTCATGCGCGTCTTCGAGACGTCGGATTTCTGCCTGGAGCCGCGCGGGGACACGGCGACGCGGCGGTCAACGTTCGACGCCATCCTTGCCGGCTGCATCCCGGTCTTCTTCCACCCCGGGTCGGCGTACACTCAGTACACGCTGCACTTTCCGAGGGACCACGGGAGGTACTCGGTGCTCATCCCGCACGCCGGCGTTGCCGCGGGGAACGTGAGCATCGAGGAGACCCTGAGGAAGATCCCGCCGGAGGAGGTGAAGAGGATGCGGGAGGAGGTGGTCCGGCTCATCCCGAGGGTGGTGTACGCGGACCCCAGGTCCCGGCGCGTGGGCTTCAGGGACGCGTTCGATGTCGCGCTGGAGGCCGTCATCGGTCGGGTGGCGAAGCGGCGGCGGGGCGAGGCCGCCGGCCGGTAGAAGTGGCACTAGTCGCCATCGACGGTTGTGCACGCTATTGTGCCGTGCTGAATTGAGTCCAACAATTTCAGGATTACGTGCGCTAGTGGAACGACTTTTCCCTTTCTGGTTTCGTGCCTGGAGTTCCGGATCGGGTCGTTACCGTGTAATCAGCTAAGCTTTTTTTTAAGCAACCATATATTTCATTAGATAGACTGTTCACAGAGATTACACATATGGTCATCATACGAGACACAAATGCTTGTCAAGCAACTTTGCACAAAAAATTCCACAAGAGAGCAACCATATATTTCACCCAACTTTGTTTGAGCACGAAAAAAATGCTAGGGAAATGATCGGCCGACCGGCCTCGTGCTTCGCCGGCAGGTCGCTCCCACGGACGCCAAGAGTCTGGCAGGGCCACGTACGTGGGCGGCTTCTTCAGATTTTTCTGTCCCTCGCTCATTCTACAATTGTTCTTTTGAAATAGACTTCCGCTCTGCTTTATGTATAAAGCAAAGATCATAAATACATAGTGATGAAATTTTTTCAAACAAAATAAGACTTAAAGAAAATGGACAATATACATAGGTCGAAACACAACTACGTCGAGCAGAAAATAGGAAGAACTAAGACTACACTAGCAACTACCAACAACACATGGACTCCCTGGCAATGCCCTCAAGAAGTAAAACGACGCAAAGCATGGTTAGTGCCGCGTCCGACAGAGTGGACAAAGGTTTTCACCTGGAACTCTGGCAGGGGAAGCGAGATACGGCAACGTCCTCATGAGGAAAGCGGCACCCACGGGCGTCGTTGTTGTCGGCACCGAAGCACAGAGCTTTCGCTCAGTTGCTTTCACTACAAAATCTGCTCGTTTTAGTAACAAAAACCCTGGTGACGAATCAAAACACGTCGCCTAAAATAATTTTCTATGGCGGTCAACCGTCATCAGCCTTTTCCCTCCTGGGTAGCCCCTTGGATGCGTTGGTGATGTTTTGGCCTTGTTTTAGGCGACACATTTGACAGTCACTATGCATGTTCATATTCTACGCTGATTTATGGCGTAACAGAAAATGATCGGTGGGTTGGGGAAGGTTAAAAAATGTTCGATGGCAGTGAAAACAAAGTTTTGTGTTTTATATAATGGACATTAGTTGAGATGATCGTGGTGAAATCCATTAATTTTTTCGTCATGCTATCATTTTACTGAACTATAAGATGAAATATTAATTCTCAAATAAAGCATGAACATGAAAATATGATCACAAAGCATAATATAACATTAACAGTTCAGGCATCGAACAATCAACAAACATTTGGTACATCAACAACGTCATTTCCAAAAGTATCGCACATCATGAGTAGGAGGGTTCGAGCATCAACATGAAGTGCTTCAACAACATAAACTACTCTTCATCAGATTTTTTAGATAACACAAATTGTTCACGCATGGGTTTGACAAAGAGGATAACCTCACCACCTCCATGGTGGATCACGAAGAGCAGCCTATCTCCAACTGCCAATTTGTACAAGGAAAGTAAATCCTTTCGGTCATCCGGTACGATGAGGCATCCATCTTTTTTTGGCGTCGAGTATATCGACTATATGCCAGTATCAGGATAGATAATAATTCTCATTTCAACATATCGATCCATCTGATCAGGCAGAACACGGCTGGGGAGTCTCTGTTGCAAAAACACAACTGTTACATGGTATGATGGCATATTTTGAATAACAACAGTTGTATTATGAATGGTGAAACAAATAAATTATTACCGACAGTTTCTTCTTTACGTTGGTCTCGATCAGTGATGTGAACTAGGGTCCCGATCTTTCGATGAGATGAGATAACTATGATTTTAGAGGAATTGACCCTCACGATCAGGCTACCAACCATACAGGGGAAACATAGACGACTGATATCCATGGCAATCCTTGAACCAACTCCAAGGTGTTATCGACCGAGCCAACGACGCAATCGACCTATCCATGAAGGATTTTTCCTACAGGCTAATCGAAAAAAACGCAAAAAAATAATAGCCAAGAAATTTGAAATTACGAATATGCTACCTGGAATAAATCTCACAAGATGGGGTTCCGATAGGATATCTTGACGGTTGCACTTGCCGCTATGAGCGAAGACAGATGAAAGTAGCAATAACTAAACTTCGCTAAACAAAACCCGAGTCTAAACCCTAACACATGACGACTATTTATTGAACGTCGCCAGGCCCAAGACATTTCAATGGACTTCCTGACCTCAACTTAGTCCTTGGGTCTATACAAGCCCACCAACCCCCACGTCTCAAAAAAAAGCTGATACGTCTCCAACACATATTTATTTTTTTGTTTCACATTATTATATTATTGATTTTAGAAGTTTTGTGTGCAATTTTATATTATTTTTGGAACTAATCTATTAACTCAGTGCTTAGGGTCAATTCCTGTTTTCTGCCTGTTTTTGGCTTTTCAGGAAATCAATACCAAACGAAGTCCAAACACGATAAAACTTTATAATAATTTTTTCTGAACCAGAAGGGATCCTAAGAGACTAGGAAGGACAAGAGGGGAGCTACGTGAGGGCCACAAGCTCACTAGACGCGCCCTGTGCGCCTTGGGTAGGGGTGCGCCCCCCATGGGCTTGTGCTCCCCTAAGGCATCGTCTCGCGTTGATTCTAATTCCCCAAAATCACATATATTCCAAAATAAATCTCCGTAAATTTTTATCGCGTTTGGACTACGTTTGATATGGATATTCCGCGAAACAAAAAACATGCAACAAACAGAAACTGGCACTGGGCACTGGATCAATATGTTAGTCCCAAAAATAATATAAAATGTTGCCAAAAGTATATGAAAGTTGTAGAATATTGGCATGAAATAATAAAAAATTATAGATACTCCAGAGACGTATCATTATCCATTTTTCTCTTTGAGCCTGGGTGGAGCTTTCCTCATGATAACTAGCCTACTCCAGCTCACTAGGCGAATCCAGTGGTTTCTCGAGGGTGCCTTTCAACCATTCCACCGAGAGGTACATTGAAGTCTTGAGGTGTAGTCTTGAATGTTTCTAAATTTATAACACTATCACAACTCCCATGTATGACTTAACCAATCCCCGTCTACTAGAGCATATCAATATAATAAATCATCATTTCCCGGACATTGTTAACATGGGTGTGGGGTTTTCCTACCTCATGATACTACTCAAGAACCAATTTCAATGTTACCTACTTTCATGCATGGTGAAAAGTTGAATCTAGTGCAATAAAAATCATGGGTATTGCTAAAAATATGATCAACTTGACTTGCCTTGATGATGTCCTTCAAATTCTAGGGAGTGGTAATAGCAAGCTACGCACTCTGGATAATCTAACGAAGCAAACAATTGCATACATAAGCAAACACTCATACCAGGGCATCAACAAGTAATTTAACATGCATTACATGGAGAAAACCAAAAGTAAATCCAAAATAAACACAAAGACTAATTCAAAGTAATCTCTAGAAAACACTTTGGAAAACTTCAATAGTTGCAAAAAATAGTTTTCTATAGTAAATCAATTTTTAAGAGAAATAAGACTAAAATTATATTAATTAAACAGAAAGAATTTTGCTCAAAGTTCTATTAGCAAAAAGAATCAATTTAATTGCTATTATAAAACCCTAGTTATGATCTATACAAGTTTAATACAAAACAATATCAAAAATGATTTTAATTAATAATAAAATTGTCTACTGTAGTCTAATAGAAACATATTATAATTTTTAAAAACTGACAAAAAGAAAATATTAAAAAAAAATAAAACAAATAGTTTATGAATAAAACAAATCCACAGTCAAAATAGTACTTTTTTTTATTTAGATCATTTTGAAATTATTCCAAACATAATTTGTGACACCTTAGTGGATAGGCAATAGATCTAGTGACAAATTGCAAAAAGAATTACTCAAACCCCTATTTTTAAATAAAAGTCATTAGCAAATTAAGGTTTAAAGCAAATCGTTCAATTTCAAATTGAAAAAGTTAAAACATGAAATATTTTTGGATCTACAGAAACTACATAATGTCCTGAAGGTAATGCAAAAAAGAATTATTCAAAAATATTTAAAACTCTAAAAGATATGAAGAAACTAAAACTGAAACTAATTCTGTTTTAAAACATAAACTGAAAAAAAATCTAAAATGCTACGGACCGCCAAGGGACACGTGGTGCGATTAGATTGGCTAACGGGTGTGCGTTGCGGAGCTAAACGAGCGGACGACCTATGCATAACAGAAAATGTTTTGGGGAAAATAAAACAAAACAATCTAATCTTGGTTGTATGGTTTGGATCTAACTGTGGTGGGGCTCTGGTGGCTTGCAGCGGCAGTGGAGATATCCGGCGACAGTGTTCGTGTGGTGGAGCCGGCGGCGGCTTCGGTGTCCTTAGGGGTTGAGGAAGACATCGGGGAAGCATAGTCGACGACGGCAGTGATGATGGTAACGACGACGAGGCTCGGGGGTGGCTAGAAGGGGTGGGCGAGCTCAATGATGGCGACAGGGTGCTGCGACATTCGGGAACTACGACGAGTGATTACCGCGAGATGAGGGGGTCAGGTTTGGGGATTTAGGGAGGAATGGGCAAGGGAGGGACGGTTTATATAGGGGGTGTGCCGTGGAGGAGGGGGCGAGCTCAAAATGGAAGGGAAGCGCGGCGGGTTCCGGTTCCGGTGATCTCCCATGATGAAAGGGAAGGAGAGCACGGGGTGATATGATCGGTCGGTGGGGTCCACATGCGAGAGAAAGGGGTCGGTAAGGGGATCAGGTGGCTAGATCTGAAGGGATTCGGTGGGGCAAGGGCTAGCTGGGACGGCTGGCGCTAAGTGGGCTTCAGTCATTCTAAAAAAAGAAAAAGGCCTTTTCGTTTTATAATAAAGATAAAACAACAAGTAAAATAGAAGACAATAAAATAAATTTGCCATAGGCAATATATACATATATTCTTAGAATAAATCAAAGAAAAACATGAACTTT